CTCCCTACCCGCCCGTGGCGTAGTCGCACACGATCCCGTTCCCGTTCCAGGCGATCACCGGCACGCCGGCCGACTGGGCGATGATGGTGCTGCCAATCTTGTCCCCCAACGCGCGCATGGGGGCGCCGGGCGGGCCGATAAACACGATTTTCCGGTCCGTTTTCGCCAAGGAATCCGGGAGTCGGGGGTTCTCGCTCGCGTGGCCCCAGCCCGCCCACACGGCGTCCACCTGCCACCGTTCGGCGATTTCCACGATCAGCATCACGTTCGCGTAGTTGTTGTTGTTGGAGCCTGGTTGGGCGGGGAGGGAGGGAGGGAGGGAGGAAGGGAGGATAAGAGGGAGGGATTAACCGGACAGGTTGACGCATGTCTCCCCGGCCCCGTCTTCCTCCTTTCGCCTTTCCAGAAAGAATCTTCTTCGCTCCACAGACCTCCGCATCGGCCATGTCAACAAACCATCTCCCCCTTCCTTCCTTCCTTCCTCCCTCCCTCCCTCCCTGCCTCCCTCCCTTGCGATCCTCACCTCCGGGCACATCCACCACCTCATCGGCCATACGGATGTACTCGGCATTGGCCCGCATGTCGTCTGGTGTCGCCATCACCACGAAGGAGACGGCTCGCTCATCCTGATACCAGGGAGGGCGGGAGGGAGGGAGGGAAGGAGGGAAGGAGGAAGGGAGGGTTTCCCAGTGGACCGGAACGGGTAAGTGCAAAGTCAGCTACAACACTAGCTCTTGCATCTCGACACTGCTCACATGTTCCGCACGCATAAAGCGGTTCCATTCCAAGCTCGCGTCCTGCAAATGAATACCCGGGTATCCTTTCCCGCCCTCCAAGCCCTCTCGAACATTCCCCTTCCCCCTTCCATCCCCATCCGCCTCCTCTCTCCCCTTCCGCTCTCCCCACCTGGAAGGTCTCGAAGGCCCACCGACGGATGGAACGGATCGCCTTCACGGCTGCAATGCCGTTGTTGGCGATGAGGACTTTCTTGATGGCTCGTTGCCCCCCCACGTACTCCACGTATTCCTCCACGGAGGAAAAATTACCACGGGGAGACAGAGGCCCGCTGCTGGCGGTGCTGGACAGGGGAACGCCCGCCGACATGGCTGCACCCTGGGTCTAGCGTGTCCTCAAAGACGATGACCTCGCAGTCGTGCTCTACCTCGCACCGGTCAGTATCCGCGCGTACAAGGCAAGACTGAGCAGTGCGGTATGCAAAGAGGAGAATGGAAATGGAAGAGATCGTATAGAACGGTAAGGCTACCAGATATTGCGGAGAGTGAAAACAAAAGGGTGCAGTCGGGTCGGGGTAAAGCGGGCCGCTGCGTTCAGGCACGAGGAGTCGTGCAAGCGCTTTGCTATCAATCCAACATCACCATGCGATTGGAAGGTGACATTCCCATGTCTGTAGCCTAGTCGCAATGTTCCCCCCAACTACATTTTATCTTTCTGGCCGGAGCGGCCACGCGATCGGGCGCTGTCCGAGCAAGGAACAGAGCTTTAACGTTTCCTGAGAGAGAGCACGTCGCAACCGCAGAGCAAGCATTTTTGCGAAACCGGGCACACATAGCCGCCCCCTCATTTTGAGCCTTTCCGACACGCAAGCCCCCTTCCAGGCAGATGCACACGATGCGTGTCACGCCTTGCTTCGAGCGGAGAGGCCTCGACTCGCGGACGGTGTCTGGACTTCTTAAGCGATTCCCCCTTGTCCGCTCACAGCGGCTCATCTGGCAGCGGCGCTGACAGTCGCGGGGAGGAGTGCACCCAAACAAACCCCGGCCGCGCCCTGCCGGTCTACACCACAGACTTGATGTGTATAGGCAGCCACTAGGAGACTCACGGTGGGGATTGTGAGCCATTTTGGGTGTTGGCTTACTTTTTCCTACCGGCACTGGACTCCGTTGGGAAGCTCTCTCCTCCGGGTCGTATTTCCCAGCGGCTTGCTCGATGGTCCCCGATCTTGTTGCGGAGAAAAGTCCTACGCGAGGGGTACTAGGGACCTAGAGGCCGACTTTTGAATCACAGCCGTGATAATAAAATAATGTGGATCACAGATATGTCAATTTTCATATCTTGGGCGGGCGCCCTGACTTTTTAAGTGGATTTTTTCATTTTTTTCTTAAATAGGCCAAGAGAGATTTTTGACGTTTGTTGTGCGCTACGGTGTCTTCAATTTCTGTCTTGCCTCCCATGTCTTTCAAAACTGATGTGCAATGGCTATCATCCGCGGCGTAGGCCCGCTGCTTCATGCCTTTCAATCCCTCTTCGCCCCCAACGAGAAACTCGCCTCCGGCAACCCCCTTCCTCCCCCGTCCCTGCCCCTGCACCACCTTTTCATCTTCTGCCACCCACGAATCCTCCTGTCTTCTAGTCCCACACAATATACAATGCATATCAGTGTGCTGCTGCACGTATGTACAGGCTTTGCACGCCCATCCTTTCTCCTCGGTGCCGGTCGTCGCCCTTTGTAATAGAGGCCCTCGCTCTCGGCGTTGCCAGGGGGAGACCCTAGGACCACATGCAAGGGCTTCCACCTCATCGACACTTCTATGAGTCACTGTCCCTTTCACCTCGTCTTCCTCGCCCTCACCCTCGACGTCCACGACACTCCCGTCCCCCCTCCCCTCTTCACCCTTCCCGCTTCCGCCTCTCTCTTGACCGCTCTCTCCTTCCCTCATCCCAGCACCCTCCCTCCCATTGGGCTCCACCAGTACCACAACCTCCTGCTCCTCGTCTTTCTCCTCCTCCTCTACCAGAGAGCAGCCCGCCACGTCCTTCTCTGCGTCCGCCCCCCCCTTGCTCTGCCCGCTCTCCCCTGGTCCCGACGGCCCTTCCCTCCCTCCTTCCCTCCCCCCTTCACTCCCTTCTTCCCTCCCGCGCTCCGTCCCCCCCCTCTTCCCGAACAAGGAGAGAAATGCTCTCTTCCCCTCCGCGTCGTCCAGCACCCCTCGAAAGCGTCGGAGGATCCTGTCCTTCTCCTTCGCGTCGCTCCACACCGTGGGCACAACCCGCCTCGGTCGCAAATACCCGACAAAGTCCAATAAATCCGCGAAGGGCGTGTGTTCGCTGTACGGTATCAGCTGCACCTTGATTCTCGCCTCCCCCCTCCCTCTTTCCCTCCCTCCACCGACCCCCCCCCCCTTTCTCCCGCACGGCGTTGCGCCGGTTGAAGTTGCTGCTTTCCGCCCACCCTGTAGGGATGAAGGCGTAGACACGTGTGTAGCCCCCTCCCTCCCTCGCTTCCTCCTCCAATTTCTTCTCCAAATTGGAGAAATTGGGTTTGAAAAAGGGCCACATCTCCCCGCAGAATCCCATGCGGCAGACGTGGAGACAGGTCTCCGTCTTGTCCGTGGTGAAGGGGGAGGGCGGGAGGGAGGAAGGGGGGGAGGGCGGGCGGGAGGGGGGCAGATCCAAGCATTCCAGTATCTTCATCTTCGCCTCGTCGACATAGATGGGAAGGCGGGTGCGGCGAGCGACATCCAGGAGCAGACGCTCTTTGCCGATGCTGTAGGCGCTGAGGAGGAAGAGGGTCTTGGGGCGAGGGGAAGGGGCGGACGGGGGAGGAAGGAAGGGAGGGAGAGGGGGAGGGGAAGAGGACGTGATGGAAGAAGGAGAAGATTGCCTGGCTAGGGTCCCTCTCTTTGGGTAATTCGAGGTCGTGGCTGTGGTAGGAGGGACGCCGGGTGCGACCTCCCTCCCTTCCTTCCTCAGGCGGGCCAAGATCAAGTCTCCCACGCTCTGGATCGCATCCTCCTGAGCAGCAAAGGCGTGTTTAGGGTGCGCATAGGTTGTGTCCAGGTAGATCGTGTCGAGCTTGCGAGGACGGGCCGGTCGCGGAGGATGGGAGGCGGTGGTGTCGTGCAGGAGGGCGGCGTAGTGCAGCATTCTGGGGTGGTAGCGCATGTCCCCACAGTGCAAATGAAGCGTAAATTCGTCGTCCCTCTCCCTCCCACTGACCTCCGCTCCACGGCTGTGGTCACCGTTGCACCCCGTATTGCTTCCTCGGCATGTCCGGACCCTGAAGAGCAACATGCAGGCCCCCGGGCAATGATTAGCGTCGAGCAACGTCACGCTCAAACCTCCCTCCTCGCGTCCGCCCCTCCCCGGATTCCATGGCAGAGGCACCTCTTCATGCATGGGCAAGGCGCGCACGTATTGAGCCTGCACACCCATGATATTTGTCAAAAGACGGGCTGTGATGGTTGAGCAATATATCACACCCGTGGACCACTCCATACTCAGCCCTTGATAGTGATCTGCGTGGTAATGGGAGAGGAAAAACAGGGCTTGGGCACGGCTTCCGACGGCGGGGCAGTGATACTTGCGGAAGGCATCGACGAGGACGGGTGTATCAGGAACCTGCGGGCAAGATCATGGATGAATCTGAGGGTGAGCAAGGGAAGGGAGGGGGAGCGAGCAGTCGGATACTGACCTGGTGGACGGAGTTATCCTTGTTCATGGTGGCTATGAATTAAATCATTTTTCGCAAGCCGGAAACCCATTGTACCATTCTTGTAGCTTTATCGATGCATATTTTGCCTTGCCATTCGGCCAACGCAACCCTGACCAAGGTCCGTGCCCGGGTATCTGCCGATGCGATGGCTTTAGTCCGCGCGTTGCGTCAGCAGGAATTTATCCCAAACCTGCGCTTTGGAGCAAGCACTTGTGTGATATACAATAAAAACCAAAAATGCCTGAGTGATGGAAAAAAAGGTGGTGCATGGTTTTACGAAGGCGATAGCGACCGCGTCAACGGACAGCACCTCGCTCTTTTGTGCGCGTCGGTACAAATAGAGATAACAAAAAAGACGAAAATGTGTCTCACAAATATTTGGTTTAGTGTAATGATAGACGGGAAAGTTTCATTTCGAAGATATTTTTCTTTTTCTTTGGATGCGTCTTGAGCAGCTAGCTTTTCGATCAAATCACTTTCAGTCACTTGCACTTTGACATTATGTAACTAGTAAAATCCATGCGCAACCCATAGCGGACATTATGGGCTGATACAAAAGGAAGCCATTTCCGAAAGAGAAGGAAACAAAAGGAAAGAAAAAGTAAACCTGCCTCACTCGAAAGTTTCCTCCTTTCTGCCCCGTTGCTATGGGAGGAGGGGCCATGAATTTGGAGTAAAACAATCAAAAGGAATCTGTGAAATTTCATTCTTTCTTTACAAAGTCTGCTCTTGAAGCAACCCGTTCGTTGTTCTTCCCAAACCTGCCCTTTTCAGCTACGTGAAGCCAATCACCAAGAGCAGGACTAAGATGATCAGCAAAATAGCGATGCAAATGTACAAACGACACACCGTGCTTTGCTCGCGTATCCGCTGGGCATGTCGAGCTTCCATGCGCAAAGACGAAGCCGCCGCCTCCACGTCCCCGTCGATGTCTTCCAGCAGCTTGTGGTGGATCCCAGTTTCGTCCCGGATCACCAGGCCCTGCATTTTCAGCCGGTCCACGCCCTTCCCCAGGTCCTCCAGGAGCTCGTCTTGCTCGTGTATGATCTCTCGACGCTGCTGTGCGAGGGTGCGGAGGCCTCCGGGTACTCCTCCACCACCCGAAGCCGCCGAGCCGTCGCGAGTAGTCCCAGTGACCAGGCCGTTGGTGCCGTGGCTGCTGGTGCCAAGGAGGGACAGCTGATGACGCAACCCCTTGACCAGCTCTCGACGACGGACCACGTCCGATTGGGAACTAGGAGGAGGGATAGGAGGAAAGCAGAGAGGGGTGAGGGTAAGAGGGAAAAGGGAGCGAGGAGGGGAGGGAGAGTAGGAGAGACAAAAAGAAAGACGTCAAGAGAACTGTGCATCCGCCGACCACAACAAATCGACACACCCTGCCCATGTCTGTTATTGCCTCGCGGATCCGTTTCAATGGCTTTCATACGGGAGCATAGCTTGAAATCTATCGGTACAATATCAGTGTGATAAACATCAAAATGGACTTTCTCCCTCTCTCTGTGCGCCTCGCCTCTACTTTGTCGCACTCACATGCCGAATTGCCCAGGATTTTGCTCCATGGTTCCCAATCGATAGTCCAGCTTGTCGACGCTCTGCTCTAGATTAGCCAATTGTTGCGTCGATGGATTGGAAGAAGAGGACGAAGGGGTTGCGAACGAGGCGCGTAGATCTATGGCAGAAGTCTTCACCCGGCCATATTCCTCCGTCCACTCCTGCGCCGTAAACGCCATAGAAACGACCAACTGAAAAGCTTTGGCCGGGTGGACTGTTAGGTGCAGGATTGCAATTGAGCGTTGTGCGGAGGTAAAAATCTGGGTCGTATATTCCTTTGACCGTGCTACTTGCATCGACAGCCTCGCTTCTCTGCTTCGCTTCATTGTGTGAAGGTCTGTGCGGAGGCAACGATTATCATCCAGCTGTGTCACTTGTCAATGACGCTTCATGCGTACTATATCAATGCCTCATTAGCCCTCGCCATGCGCGTCGACGAGGTCGTGCGGCGCAGGCATAAATTGTGTTCAAATCTGGACTCTGACTGTCGTAAGCCCTCCGGGACCCTCTCGACCTCCCCCCTTCCTCCCCTCTGCCCTGTTCTAAACCCGTACTTTCTTGCTCACAAAGCCTCTCACTTATTTAATCGCGTGGTGCTAAATTTACGTCAAGGTTTAACGATGGCCAGATGCGTGGCACTCATCCGCGGTGCTCCTGGTGACACAGAAACGTCCATCCAGGGGGTCATTCGCTTCGAGCAGGTACTTACGGTTGGCAGAGGGCGGCTCGGGACTTTCACTAATTTTACGTATGTGTGGCGTCGTATTTTCCCATTATGGTCACAGGCGTCAGAGACAGCACCCACAATCCTGGACGGGGTCATCACGGGCCTAGCACCGGTATGTGGACGCATTGTTCAAGGGTCCCGTGACAGGCGGCCCAGTCTCCTCAAGGCCTTCTCTCGTTCTACTATCATCATGCGCACAGGGACGACACGGTCTGCACATCCATACCTTTGGAGATTTTTCAGAGGGATTCGCTGGGGCAGGTGCGGGCCTTGGCTCTGTATGGTCGTTCCCTCTTCTGGCGTGTTATCGTCTTGCAGGCTACGGCCTCCATGTGCTCGCCGGAGCCGTTCCCCCCCGCGTGACACGCAGCATTGCTCCGGAATTTTCCCAAGACTCCTTTTCTCACCACACCCTTTTCACATTATACACAACCTGGACACGGCAGGGGGCATTTTCAACCCGTTCGGGAAGGCCCACGGGGCCCCGGACGACGACGAGCGGATGGCGGGCGACTTGGGCAACATCGAGGCCAACGGGGAAGGAAAGGCGGAGTTCCGTGTGGAGGTGAGGGGCCAGGGAGGGGAGGAAGGAGGGGGGAACGGGCTTGTTTGCGGGGGCGACATGTGGTAGCAATGGGGAGGATGAGGGATGGAAGGCAAGGGGAAGGGGAGCAAGTCGAAAGAAGGGGAAAGAGGGCTTGTGTCTTGTCCGATGGCAGTGGCGACAAGAAAGAGAGAGAGGAGAGCGAGAGGGCCACAAAAGGGCACAAGCAAGGGGAAGCACGTGCGGGGCACTGGGTCCTTACTTAGGGCTGTCGTGGCGCCTCCACTTTCCCTCCCCTTCCCCCTCGACGCAGGACAAGCACGTGCGCCTGATGGGGGCGCATTCGGTCATCGGTCGCTCTGTGGTGATCAAGGCACAGGAGGGACGACGTTGGGACGGTGAGACAGGCAGGGAGGGAGGGAGGGAGGGAGGGGAGGGGGGGGAGGAAGGGTGACGATGGAGGTCATCGTCGCAGGTCTCGCCCCTCCAAGCGTCTCCTTCCCCTTCTGCCGCACAGGGCGGGCACGAGCAGTCCTTGGTGACGGGGAACTCTGGCGCGCGTATCGCGGGGGGTGTGGTCGGGATAGTCTCTGCATAAGGAGGAGGGAAAAGGAAGGGCAGATCCCTGTCTCGGCGCTTGGGGCTTGGTCAAGGAAGCAGAGGCTGGAGGAGGGAGGGCGGGGCAGAGGGAGGGAATGGAAGGAGGGGGCACTGGTTTGAGAGAAGGCGAGGGAGGAAGGGATGGGGGCGCAGCTTTTTTACGGAAAGTAGAAATGCCAGCAGGTACCCGCGCTGTCCCTCTCCCACGTTTCTTTCCTTCCGATGTTTCTCGACCCTCGGCCACCCATGAGCCGCCCAACCGTCATCGTCCAGCAGCAAAGAATAGGTCGACTGGCAATCGATCATCGGGCCAAAATTAGATGTTGCGTTCCAGCGAAGTCTATTATTATTCGTGCTTGGACGTTTTTAAGGGGGTCAAGTATTCCACGGTAATGGACATCCTGTCCGCGTATCACCAGATAGATATTGAGGCAGACTCGATAGAGCAAACGGCCTTGGTGTGTATACTCGGTCGGTACGAGTTTCTACGCGCAAGCTTGGGGTCGAAAAAGACTACCCGGATTTTCCACGTGAGTCCTCGAAATACGAGGTCGGCTAATCGCCTCCACAATCCTGGCAGGTTTCTCATACCGAACATTGCTCTGCGGAACTCGTACTCTCTAAACTTGCGAACGAACGCCGTCTTTTCCACCGGATCCGCCTCGCCCTCTGTCTCATGATACGCGAGCAGGATGCCCGTCACCGCAAAGTATCGAGCCCCGTTGAACACGTCCAAGCACGAATCTAGCGACTATGTCGGGTGATGGACGTCGCTGTCACGCACAACCTCATTCAACGCCCGATGATCGGTGGCCGGTAAAGCTTTTCCTTTCTGCTGGGCGATGACGATCGAGGCGGCCCATGGGGAGGCCGAGGGCCTTTTGTCCGGCGTCCGTGCTCAGGTGTCTCTCAGACTCTCGACGACTTGCCGCGAGCCTGGCATTGCCGCCTCCACCCAACCCCGTCCAGGAGCATCAATCAACGCCCATGTCCCTTCTCCTATGTCTCGGCTGGCGGCTCCTCATCCTTTCTCGGTTGTCTTCCTTTTCTTCTGTGCGCTCGGGTAATCCCTGCCTCCATTCTGACCTCCGCCGCTCCTGTCCCTCCATGGTCACCACTCCCTTCTTCCCGCCCCGGAAACTGTAACTCCCCATCCTTTCCCCACATCACCACCGGCTTTGTCTTTGATCCTGTGTCTGAATTTGCATGCTGGCTGACGACAACCACCGGCATTCGTCGCTGTTCTTCTTCATGTCGTTGCATTTCTTCCAGCATCATCATTTCGTCCTGAGGTTGAAGAAGAAATATGGCCAAACGAAATTAGACTAGTGGAGGACGAGAAACGTTCACACGTGTGATGAAACTAATGAGTCCGTAGACTAAAGAAAAACCATGAATCAGGCACTTCGCGTGGTTCATTTTACCTCATGCCGATGCCACCGGCTCAACCGCCGCGTGACTGCGTACGTCCGCCTGTCTACTTTCCTCGTCATTTCGAAAGTAGGATGGGACAGCAAGGCCGATGGAGGGAGTGGAAAGGGTTGAGGCGTATGCCTATCGAAGATGGTTCGAAAGACTTTAGAACGGGGGGGGAAGCGTGATTGCATAAGAGTGATAGAGGCCGGGCCAGACTATAACCTCCTGCGGCTTCAAGGTCGTCTGCAAAAATATGTGCTTAATCCAGTTGAAAGCGAGATTATCTCTCGAGCCAATGCAAAAGCCGTTGAAAAGGATGTAGCTATACTTGTACCGGCTGTGGGTGGTGGTAGTAGTGTGTGTTATTTGTCTGTGCCTCAGGAATAGAAGGACTCCTACATGGTAGTCAAGTGGGGGGCGTGTCGGTCAGTTCCGCAATCCCCGTCTGCTCTCTACCCTGCCATTGATAATGAACGCGCAACGCCACCGGGACATGCTACCGTGACGAGGGTTAATTTTGGTGCACATACAATGCTTTTGCTGGTCATTTGCGGGGTGTGATCACCCCATCGAGGACAGCTACAGTCTTCTCCACTGTCAACTGCCTGCGCCAAGGCGGGCGCACTTGTTCGTCCCGCCCCCTGGTTCTGGTTTTCACGTCGAGGTCGGCTCAAAGAGGAAGTAACGCAAAGATCTAAACACTATATGTGGAAGATGGGCGGTTTCTAGAAATGGATCGGTGGGAATTCATCATTACCGACGTCAACATAAAGTTTTCCCCTACTAATACTTCAAACCTCCTTCTTCCTAGGTACCTCCTGCTTTTTCTTTGTGTAGGGTGGCATCATGGATCAGCAGGCGATGCGAGAGGCACGGCTCCGAGCATTGGGACAGCCCAATGGTGATGGTCGAGATACAGAAGAAAAATCGGCTGAAGTCGGACAGGCATCGCTTTCAGGATCGATGGCAAGGTCTGTAGTTCAGGCATATTGCACTTGCTCCCTGCTTCTACTACCATTTCCTTGCATGTTGGATCTACCTGTATGCTCCATTCATGCCTGTGTGTGTCTCAATAAAGAAGTCCTCACGATTTTCCTCCTTCCATCTCCCGTGTCTACCCTGCTTCCCTCCCCATCGCGTCCTCAGTCCACGGGAGAGGGAGGAAGAGGGGTGGATGGTCGTTGACACCCCCGACTGCCCCGCACCCGCTTCTCCAACCGCTGCCACTACTACCGCTAGCCCCGACAGCGACAGCGGCAGCCTTTTATCGCAACCTCTCTCTGCCCATGACACGGACGCCCTCCGCGGGGTTCGTTTCTCATCCCCGCTCTCCCTCCCTCCTTCCCTCCTTCCTCCTTCCTCC